GGGCTTCTTTACTTCCTTCTACTAATCATTTTAAGGGGATGGTTTATCTGAAACAAACCATAGTTAAAATGACATTTTGTTGTGTTCAGATGAAATATCAAGCTGTGGTTAGTAAAAAAAAAAATTGAGCAAAACCTTCTGGCCTCCTTTTCCTGGCTACACAAAAGCTGGAAAAGTGAGGGGAAGTGCATAAACCTGAAGGATACACTATTGTCATTTTCTGTATAAACTGCAGTTTAACGTGACATCCAAACCAGCCCAATGCAAGGCAGCTAAGTTACCCACCAAGCCAAAGGCATGTAAACATAATTTCACTGTTGCAGTGATGCTGTTTTAGTCTTCAATTTTGTCTTCTGCTACAACAAGCCAAAAAAGCAATTCAGTGTTTTGCTTCCATTGTATTAATTTTGATAATGCCCAAGTTAATGTTGAGCATATTAATTTACTTGTACATTATAAGACTACTATTTGTGTTACAAGGTAAAGGGAAGGTTTTTTTTTTCCTTCCTGTGAAGCAACTTCATGAGAGCTTTTGGTATAGACACTGAAAAATTAAGAGAGCATCACTATATGGGCTTAAGATTTTTCCAACATTTGCTTGTAATTTCAAAGCTAAGCAATAACTAAACCTATTACTTTCCTAGCAAAAGGAACACACGAAAAGCCTGAGGATTTCTGGGCACAGTACTAAAAAATCACTTTGTATTTATTAAGGATGACAATCACCTGCCCTCTAAATGTCAGAGTTAGAGACAGATCCTATTAGCTGTGGATTTTATGTTTTCAAAAACAGAGATCAGACATTATTTGCTGCTATGTCCCCGCAGCTGAAGGTGCAATCTGAAATTTGCATATACCTATTGAGGATTAATCCATTTAAGTCTTCTATCTCCTCCTACACTGTGACTAAATGTAGACTACTTTCCCCATCAAGCCAGCTTTTTCTCTTCATTTATCCCTCCTTGCTTTGCTTAAGTGCCCAGAACAAGCAGTTCTGAGGACTTAAAATCTGATTCAATGTTTTCTGATTGTTTTATTTGTTCCATTAAAAGTATAGCTAAGCTGCCTTTTCTATAATCAAACTGTAGTTTCATTCTGCTTAGCATCCAGCCTCATGAGTTGTTCTGAGAGCCTCAAAGCTGATTTATGGTGTTTCTTCTATTTTGACTTGTTCAATTAAAAGTATTGCTGAATTGTGGTTTTTGAAATCACCTAACTGTAATCAAATGTCAGTGTGATCTTATTTGCTGCCAAACCAAAGTAGTTCCTTATGAAATGTCACATGAACTTAAACTGCATCCTTATTGGTTGTTTGTGACATCATGATTGTCTTACTAAATTCATGTTATGGTTGCTTTCCTATGAAACTGAACAGCTCCATCTGCTGGAGATCTGAATAAATTATTGGATATTTCCAATAAGAAAGTTTTGAAAGCTTACAACGTACCTCAATACCTTCATATCACAAGCTGTGATTTTTAGGATGTGCTAACCTTTGACCCAAAACTTCAAAGCTGCCTCCATGCACACTAGATGGCTCCTTCTTCCAACTGGTACCTTCATAAGAGTAACAAACTTCACACCATCAGGGCTCTCCCTCACCTTTGCACATTTCCAAGCACTTCCAGATACCTTATGGCAGAGGTCGTCAACCCCCGGTCCGCGGTCCATTGCCGGTCCGTGGCTTGACCCTGACTGGGCCAGGGAGACAGACCTCCCCCTGTCCCCCTCCCCCGCACGCACTCGGCGGCGGCTGCAGCAGTGGTGGAAGGGGACAGCCAAGAGCCCGGAAGGCAAGAGCATGGCCAGGTGCTCCAGCTGCTCTCCTCCCGGCAGCGGCGGCGGAGGGGGGTGGGGGTACAAAACCCGGGAGCCCGTGAAGACAGACCTCTTCGTGCCCCCCGCATACACTCCCCTCCCCTGAGCTGCTTTGCATGCACGCTTGCCAGCATGGGCGCTCCCTAACCCCTTCATGCAAGTGGCCCCGCGCGCAAATCAGCTGTGGGGAGGGAAGTCCATGCGGGGGTAGGCGGGAGGTCTGCCTTTGTGGCTCGGCAGCGGCGGCAGGTGGGAATGGGCCAGACCCGACAGGCAAGAGCATGGCCGGGTGGACTTTGGCTGCTTTCCTCCCGGCAGCAGTGGCGGCGGAAGGGGTGGGAGTGGGCAAGACCCGGGAGGCTGTGAAGACAGACCTCCCCCTGCACATACTCCCCTCCCCAGAGCTGCTTTGCACGTGCGCTTGCCTGCATGGGCGCTCCCTCACCCCTTCATGCAAGTGGCCCCGCGCGCAAATCAGCTGTGGGGAGGGAAGTCCGTGCGGGGGTAGGCGGGAGGTCTGCCTTTGTGGCTCGGCAGCGGCAGTCGAGGGGGTGGGTGGGCCAGAGCCATCAGGCAAGAGCGTGGCTGGGTGCTCTGGCTGCTCCCCTCCTGGCGGGCTCTAAGGAAGCCAGGGTGGGTGCTCCTCGCTGCCATCAGCAGGCTGATGTCTCCAGCTCTGGAACCAGTGGCTGCATTTGAATTTTCCGCGGAGGGTAGCGAGTAGCACCGGCACCAGCCTCGTTGGATCCCATCGGGAGGAGAGCAGGCAGAGGGAGCCTCCCGGCCATGCTCAGATTCCCAGACTGCCGCCGCCGCTGGCACGCATTTATAAAATTGTGGGGGGGGGAGAGTACAGCAGCCTCCACCAGGCGTAAGGTGAAAGAGCTGCCCAGCCCTTTTCAACTCGGAGGCGCCCGCCAGGAACATCTCCCCAAAGGCGGAAGTGGTGGCAAAGGGAGTCCAGGGTCGTCTGGACACAGCCTCAACCCCCCCCCGGGCCTGCGCTTTCCACAGACAAAGCGGCTGACTAATCAATGTCTGCTTCAGAAACATGCCACTTGTGGAGCCTTCCCTTCCATAGCCCACGCCGCCGCCGCACTTTTCTTCTGAAGTCGACAGGGCTTCCTGACGAGCTGGAGAATTCCAGCCAAGTTGGAATCCAAAGTGGCGAGAAAGCAAAGA